AGCTTCAACCTCTAATACAAGGTGTTGCTCTTGGAACACACTGTGAGTACCAGAAAACACAATCTTATGAGGAACAGCTGGGGAGGAGCCATAACAGGGACGGAGACCAACATCTCTAGAACTGAGCAGAAATACTGACCTACGGGCTTACCAGAATGACTCAATGTATAGAGAACAAGAATAAAATGGAAAGTTAAATCCAAAGAAATGCACAAACAACACATCACATATTTGCACACTAAGAATGAAATAATAATAAAAAGGAAATATAGAAAGACTTAATCATAAACTTATAATTCAATTCAACACAAATTTAAAAGTACTTTTTTTATCCCAAAGGTAAATGAAATAATAACCAAGACACTTACTTCATCAAACCTGTGGCCAAAGTGGAAGCTGCTTCAACCTCATCAGCTGTAACAGTTATTGATTGCCTGCCAAACAAAAATAAAAAAAATTACATTTAAAAAAAGTATTTTTTCTTTGTGTCTGTTATTAAGGTGAACACGATATACACTTACTGTTGCACAGGTGACATTTCCTGTTGAAAAGGTAGGGGGGAAAAAATCATATAAGTATAATAGAAAAGTTTTGTTTACCAGAACAGTATTTACTTATTTAAATCTTTGTTTAAGAAACATTTACAGACCTGCAAAGACTGCTCAATAGCCATGGCTAGCTCCTCATCCATGTTCTCTCTGTGAACCCCCCAACAGCAAAACAGCATTCGTCACTATGAAAAATGTTTCACATGTATTTCTTGAAGATATTGATATGAGTATGGGCCGTACGTATCATTGCTTGCTTCGTCTTGTGTACTGTAAAAAGAAGAAAACCGAAGAGAGATGGAACCAGTCAGTTAAATTTTGTTACTCTAATAAACAGTTAATCATTTGCAAATACACAATTTGCACAGTAACCAGTTGTCTTCTATTTTCTAATATAATGCTCTATGTTTTTAAAAGATTAACAGTCATTTTTACCACTCCTGGATATGAGCAGCCAAGTCACAAAGGGGGATTAAGGATTGGCAGGTGAGACACCTTTCCATCACTTTCGGGGCCTATGCACATTGTACAAAAAAATAAAAATAAGTTGAACGTCCAGACAATATAAAGTACACACATGTTTCGGTAAAGATTGAAACCTACATCATCAACTGGCGGAGGCGTCAGAGTAAGGCTTTGTTGGAGGGGAATTATGTACAAGGGAGTCCTTGATGAAGCTGATCGTATATAGCTCAGGCTGTATCCCAATGGTGGTATGGGAAGCTCTTCTAAGTTCTTTCCCCTGCAGCCACGAGCCAAGACAAACCCACCAGCATCTCTAAGTTGGGGGAACGCAGAGAAGAGATGCTCGCTGAAGAATGAATGGTCTCCTTCATTGTGGGGGAAAAACACATTTTTTTTCCCCAATCCACAAGCTGCATAGAAGCAAGACTCCTCAGTTGTTGGAATAACACATGATTGTGTCTCAGGTAAACAAATAAAAATATGTGACCAAGGGGTCTCCCGCTTCCTCTTCCTAACCCCACTGGTTACTCCACCTTGATGAGGCCGAAACAGCCTTGACAAGTGGGCCTGAACATTGTCAGTACGGGGCTGATAGACAGTGTGCCGAGGTGGAAGAGCTTGGAAGGGAGAAGCTGGAGCAGGTGGGATATGGCAAGATGGACCAGGCATCGTGTGGCTTGATTCAGTAGGTGGGGTGTTACAGGATGATGCAGGCTGTAGCCGTGACAAAGGTGGCATTCGGGAGGATACTCTAGGGAAACAAGTGGGAGGATGCTGGACTGGTGTAGCTGGCAAACTGGGTTGTGGTGGAGCAGATGGAGCTTGTTCCACTCTGTCCAGCAGCAGAGCTGTAGTGCGCTGCATTTGCTGGAGCAATGCACGCATTTCTTCAGGACTGTTAAAAGGGCGGATATAGATTAAGTTAATTGATCTGTAGTAGATGTTGGAAGTCTGTCAACAATATGAAAACTGTATATTTGTTACATACAATGGTCTTTGACTTCCTCTGTCCATTTTGGGAATCTGTGACAAAAAATGAAACCAGAATTAGCAGAGATTTCACCAGTGCAACATAGTTATTAACATAATGGACAACCTTACCAAACCATTGGTCCTAGTCAAGGTAAAAAAATGATTTTACATGGGGTCTAATTTGTCACTTTTTAAAAAATGCTATTAACCAGGTTTGGTTGCAATAACAATGTTGGGTTGTGCACGTGCTTTTAGATATATTCCAACATCTGTAGCAATAAGCATTAATGGTCTACATTACAGGAAATAAATTGAAATATTTGAAGGTCTGTGCATATACAGATGTCCGTGTGACGATTTATGACTTCAAACGTCCCAGGTTACACAATGCGAAGCACTTATTTTTTTGCTAAAGTTCCCAATTGTATATAAATGATATATTGCCAAATTGAATAATGCTCTAGTGCAAAGCCAATGTTCTAACACTGTAATCTACTCAAAGCTTGCGAAACCACTGCATTATAAATTCATTTTTCAATTTAGCAATAAAAATTTAACATTACTTAACTTACTTTTTTTTTCTGAGTAATTTTTTTCATATATATATATATATATATATATATATATATATATATATATATATATATATATATATATATGCTACTATATGCTATACATATGTGAAGTTATAACATTATCTGCAAAACCAAATTACTGATATGACATGCTATTACAATGTTAAAATAACAGTAATATCAATTAAGATAAATACGACTATAAAAAATATTTTTTGTGTAACATTTTTAACTTATGAAATGTTCACTCTTACCTTTCTAGACAACGTCCCGCAAATAATGATTTTTTTTTTTTTGCGCCAATTTTGGTGTTGTTGAGGTACTTCCGTCCATTTACCCGCCACATTGAGTACTTCCGGTAGACCTTTGCTGATGTTCGTAGCAACAACAGTGGAAACGTTCGCCATCGATCAAAAGAAGAAGAAGTAAAACAGTGGTCGCAGTGAAAATGTCCACACGGTAAGTATATTCCAAATATTTTATATTAGTCGTGTCCTGGCATACCAAAAGTAGACTACTAAGGTCGCTGAATGCCGTGAACGCTACAATGGATGCATCGCGCTCAAAACCAGGGAATCACTTTTTTACGGGCGTGAACATATCCGTATCCTAAAGTGCTTTTATTTTCAAAACAGTATTTCTTTGACATTTACAGAGGACACAGGGCTGTTTCGCGATGCTAGATTTGTTTGTTCAGGTTTATTCAGCTGAGCAGTGTGCCAAGAGGAAGTTAACGTCTTGTTGAAATACTAAGCTGTAATGAAATTAAACTTATTGTGGAAAAATTAAACAACTCTCCAACGTTTCGCCGGAGTTATTTATTTATGTGTTTTTTTTTGTTTTTTTTTTTGATAAGTGAAAATTGTTTTCCAAACGTGCATTATCATTACCTGTCTCATTTGTTCATTTACTACTAGGAAGCTATCACAAAACATCTGTGCTCTGTTCGAAAACCTAGGAGGCGTCCTTAGAAGGCCAGATTCGAAGGCCGATTACGTCAGGTCTGGTCGGATTCCAAGAGTCCTCGTTATGCGGCCTTAAAATGCGTCCTTCTTTTTGCCTGACTTAAAGGACGGGTCCGACGTACCCTCGGTATCTTTGGATATCACAGGATTCATTGCGAGACCCAGCAAGCCGTGATCAGAGGAAAGGTTACTTGGCGCCGAACAGTGGTGAAAATTGGAAGTTCAGTTTAATATAATACAAGTCAGTGAACAATTCCGTCTGAAATGAATGAAAATAGTTGTTTTAATGGTTATTGAGTCAGATATGTGGCGGTAATGTTTGATTTATCTAAGGTTTTAATCTGTTACTGTGTAAATGGGTTTGGCTGTAATTTGAGGACAGATTCTAATATATCTGCAGTGTGGGGACTATAAATCTGATAGGATTTTTATCTTTTATTGCTGTTTTGCACAATATGCTTAACTCAGTATTTTTTGTTGTTGAATATAAGAGATTTTGCAGATATATTTTTTATACATACATTAGTTAGATTTACTTATATCTTTCTACTCCTTTTATAGAATAGAATAGAAAATCCCTTTATTGTTCCACAATGGGCAGATTTACAGCAGCAGAAAGATTATTGAAAATGGTCACACAAATGTGGACCTTAGAAAAATGTATAAGAATAACATAATAGGGAAGAGTTAAAATATAAACAATAACATACTGTAAAGCGTTTTAACAATATAAAACTGGGGAATAAATAACCAATATGCAGCTATGGACATTTTTACAGTGATGGATATTTGAAAATAGCAGCAACATCAGAGATGTGCAGAATGACAGCAGCAGGTTATTTAACTGACTAAGGTTTCTATCATTACATTTGATTTGATTTGTTCCTGATCCCGGTGGTTGGAACATTTATTCCACTCTGGATTCTTGTTAATGTAGTCTTTGTTCATTTTACAATAAAAAAGAAATACATAAACAAATAGTTTTGGAAAACTTCGGTTTTCATTCTTTTCCTGCTTTGTGTGTCAACTTTCACGGTTGCTAAGCAACAGAGCATACAGCGGTAAAACCCGCCGAAGGGTAGACCTGTTCGAATCCACAGCCAAAACTCTTCCGGTCTCCTCATTTTCAAGGACTTCCAAGGATCCAGTCTAGGTAGACCGCGTCCTTGGAGGATGCAGCCCAGGTTTTCGAACAGAGCCATGCACACATCACAACCTGGTCATGTATGATTTTCTTTTGAAAGGGAAAACCACAACAAGGACCTTAAACCAGACAGGAGCTTAATTCTTCTACATACTTCATCATTTAAATCAATTTTTTGTTAATGAACTTTTTAAAAACATTAAACTACGGTGTTCCCAAAAAGAGCCTCGTTAAAATTTTTGGACACTTTTCAGATTATTGTTCAGTTAATTGATAATTTATTTATATAATACAAAATTTAAAAAAATCGTGTCAGAGCATTAGGAAAAAAAAGTAAATTAGATTTAAGATGCTGAAGGTAGGGTAAAATTTATTGTAATCGGCCTTTATTCATTTCTGCAATTGGAAGCTAGAATCGGTATGTATGTATATATATATATATATATATATATATATATATATATATATATATATATATATATATATATATATGAAAAATCGTGATTAATCATTGATTAAAGTAGTCTTCAATTAATTTGATAATCAACCTAGAGCACTGGTAAGAACTCCAGAATATCCCTTTTGCTATAGAAAATCTAAGCAATAATGTAGTTACAGCCGTAATTAAGAGAAAACTGGAAATGTTTATTGCCATTCACAATTCAATTAAAATGTGCAGTGAATTTTTTTTGCTAAATTGCAAATGTTTGTTTATTGATAATTTCTTCACTGAAACGGAGTCTTTTTAGATTAATGGAAGAAATTATTGATACATTCATTGATTATTAAAAGGAGAGAAAACAATATATATATAAATTGATGTAACGCTTGACAAATGCAATTAGACTTATACAACTTTTATTGTAATTTTCTATACATACTGTACACAAATGAGATGTCGTTTTGTACAGCTTTCAAGAAATTTTTGCAGCAGTTATCAAATTTAAACTGGGAGAGAAAACATGGGGCAAAAAAAAAAAGAAATGTAAAATAATAAAGATGCACAACAATGACAATGTTACCAAGAAAAAAGTGGAAACTTACATTATTTTAACATAGAATTTGATAAGTTTTCACTATGAATCTTAGATTTTATTTTGCATGTGCTTCTTTCAACATTAACAATACCTGTATTTTCTTTATAGTTCTGAAGACGACCAGCGCAGCCATCAACTGATGCAGTACCTCTACGCTCAATGTCGACGGTTATCTGAAAATTTTGAGGCTAATGCATCACAATTTGATTTCGATTTCCTTCAGCAACGCTATGAGGACATCTATAACATCTTATTACGAGCTCAACAAACGGAAATATTCACTGATATCGATGACATCTTGGACAGCGTAAAGATAGTACTTTGCTTCCTAGAGGAAAAAAATAACCACACTGGTGGATTTAGACCTGCAATGATCACATCTGGTGGCCGAGGACGGCCATCGTGGGACATTTCAGAAGATCAACTAAAGTACTTGTTAGAGTACAATTTCACAGTCCGTGAAATTGGGGAACTGTTAGGTGTTAGCTACAGCACTGTACGAAGAAGGATGGCTGACAGCAATCTCTCTGTCAGAATGAATTACAGCAACATCAGCGATGAGGATCTCCAAAGATTGGTGTGCAGTTTTATCCAGGAGTGTCCTGATTCTGGAATCAAAACCGTCCTAGGATATCTTAATAGTGTTGGACTAAGGTAGGTGTTACATTAAATGTGTGAATGATTACGTTACAAAAGTGTATTAAATCCACATTTAATTAATGTTTTCTAGAGTGCAGAGATCCAGAGTAATGGAAACAATGAGGGTGGTGGATCCAGTGGGCACCATCTGTCGTGGCATTGGCATTAATATCATACAGAGAAGAGTTTACTCTGTACCATCACCCCTGGCACTGTGGCACATTGATGGCAATCACAAATTGATACGGTAAGCTATTTCTGGAAAATGCAAATGGATATGTCACAACAGTTTAATTTAAAAAATTTTTTTTTCCTTTTTGAAGGTGGAGAATTGTGATTCACGGTGGCATAGACGGATACAGTCGTAAGATAATGTTCCTCACTGCCAGCAGTAACAACCGATCTAGCACAGTTCTTCAAGCCTTCCTGGGAGCTGTGCAGAAGTTTGGCTTGCCCATCAGAGTCCGAAGTGACAAAGGAGGAGAAAATGTTGAAGTAGCTCGATATAGTATGTTAGAACATCCTGAACGAGGGGGAGGTACGTCCTTTAGCATCATGTCAGAGTTTTATTTAAGTACTGTGAGTACAGAAAGTATTCAGACCCCCTAAAATGTTTCACTCTTTGTTTCATTGCAGCCATTTGCAAAAATGAGTAAAGTTCATTTTATTTCTCATTAATGTACACTCAGCACCCCTTCTTTACAGAAACTTTATTTGAAACTTTTGCAAATTAAAACTGAAAAACAATATAACATCATAAGTATTTAGATACTTTGCTTAGTATTGAGTAGAAGCACCCTTTTGAGCTTGTACAGCCATGTGTCTTCTTGGGAATGATGCTACAATTTTTCCCCTCCTGGATTGGGGGTAGGGCTGGGTACCGAACTTCGGTTCTTTTATGGTGCCGACCGAAATGCTTCGGTTCTACAGAGTATCGAAACATGCCTCGTCTTTCGGTACCAAGTTTCGGTGATTGGCTGTAACACTTAACGTGATTGCGTCATCCAGGAAAAATACAAAGGTGGTCACGCCTACAGCAAGGGTTCATGTGTATCTGTTGTGAACTGGTTGCAGCGTCGTGGAACCCCTTTAAAATGCCCTCCAGGTCAAAAGTGTGGCTTCACTTTATTAAGACTGATGCCAATAGTGCGCAATGCAATACATCGTGCATAGAAACAATTTAAGAGCAGAAAGTTGCTCGGTGTTTGACTGCAAGAAGAGCGGACCGCAGCCAGCGCGACCATCCTCCTCTCAGCAGCCCGTGGGCGGAGCAAAGCCAGAGCGGAGGGAATCATGCTGCTTTCAAACTGGACGCAGCAGGAGCAGCAAAAGCACGTCTGCTGCTTCATTTTTCCTGCTTGTACCAGCTTCTGACGTGCAGCTGAAGCAGCTTTGCTGCTCTGGCTGCGCGGTCGAAAAGTGTGTCTGATGCGCGTTGGGCGGAGCTACTCTATCCTTTCTCTGCCTTGCAGCTATATTTGCTGTGATCAGTGGGAATAAAGTAGTTTTATTAAGTTTTTAAGTGGGAAAATCCACCTGAAAACTTAATCAGTGCAGTCAGTTCATCCTGCATTCCAATATTTCTGTCGGAGCCGCTCAGACCCCCACATAACAGCGGTGCGGTGTCAGTAGGATCCCATTCAACGGGCTTGTTTGTCAGACATGGTCATTTTTCTAAAGGAAAACTGCTAAGTAAAAAGGTCCTCATAATGTAACAGTGAATATTAGACTCAGAATTTTTTTTTTTTTTATGTAAGAGGAAAAATGTAAATGAAAAAATCAGAGCTTAAAATAAAACTCAAGATTTGTACTTTTTTATGTTGTGTAATTTTCTTTTTCTTCGAATTGATATTATAAAACTGGTATCGAAAAAAGTATAGTTCAGGAACCGGTATCGAAGTGAAGGTATCGGTATTGGTACCGGAACCGAAAATTTTTTAACGATACCCAGCCCTAATTGGGGGATCCTTTGCCATTATTCCTTGCTGATCCTCTCCAGTTCTGTCAGGTTGCATGCTGAGCATTGGTGGACGGCCATTTTCAGGTATCTCCGTAGATGCTCAATTGGGTTTAGGTCAGGGCTCTGGCTGCGCCTGTCAAGACTGATCACAGAGTTTTTCCCAAGCCACTCCCTTGTTATTTTAGCTGTGTGCTTAAGGTCATTGTCTTATTGGATGGTGAACCATTTGGCCCAGTCTAAGATCCTGAGCACTCTGGAAGAGGTTTTCTTCAGGATATCTCTGTACTTGACCACATTTTACCTTCAGTTGCAACCAGCCGTCCTTTCCTTGCAGCTGAAAAACACCCTTATAGCATGATGCTGCCACCACTATGTTTCACTGTATGGATTGTATTGGGCAGGTGATGAGTAGTGCCTGGTTTTCTCCACACATACTGCTGGGAATGAACACCAAAAAGTTAAATCTTTGTCTCATTTTGACCACATGATTCTCATTTGCTCTGACTGAACTGTGAGCTGTAAGGTCTTATATAGACAGGTATGTGCTTTTTCTAATCAAGTCCAATCAGTTTAATTAAACACAGCTGGAGGATGGAGCAGAACCGTCTGACGGAGGATCCGATGGGGTGCTGAGTGTACACTAATGAGAAACAAAATAAACTTTATTGATTTTAGCAAATGTCTGCAATAAACAAAGAGTGAAAACTATTAAAGGGGTCTGAATACTTCCCGTATATGAAAGAATATCATGTGGTTGTAGAAAATTACACCTTGCATTGCTCTTTACAGAAAGAAGAAGTTTTATAACGGGACGCAGTGTCCATAACCAAAGAATTGAGAGGCTGTGGAGAGACGTTTGGTGTGTTGTCACCGTGAACTACCGCTATGCCCTGGAGTATCTGGCTGACACTGCAGCTTTGAATCCTGATAGTGAACTGGATTTAGCATGTATTCATTTCATAATGCTGCCCAGACTAAATCGGCATTTAGAACTGTTTTCTGTGGCTTGGGACAGACATTCCCTATCCACGGAGCAAGGCAGATCACCTCAACAGTTGTGGATTAGGGGTCAGTTACTGGCAAACACCTCCATAACTGACCCTTCCAGCGAGCAGGTTTGGATTCTTAATTATACCATAACAAGTAAAAATGTTTACTATCTATTTGCTACTATTTTTCTACTTTTTTATTTATTTCATTTAAATGCTATTGTGTTTTGTAGATTGACGAAGATCGCTATGGGGTTGACTGGGAAGGACCAACCCCATTGGATACAGACGATTGTGTGATCATTCCAGACACACCAGAAATTATCAGAAGACAGGTTTCCATGCTCCTTCAGGAAAGAATTGACCCTCTGAGGGACAGCCACTGTTTTGGAATGGACATCTGTTTGGAAGCCTTGCAGTTGGCAAGGCAGACATTTCTACATTTTTCATAACTACATTTGGTTTTGTGTAGTGTGAGTGTGTGTGTGTGTGTGTGTGTGTGGGGGGGGTTGGTTTTCTCTTGGTTTCTGTGCTTCAATCATTACACAAGAAGTTTTGAATTGTTTCTCAATCGTTTTCCACATACATTGTTTGTTCCCAAGTAAAGTTAAAATATTTGTTCAGAAAATAAGGCTCTGAGTTTTTCTACAGTGGCATGAAAGGTAAATTCTAACAATATTACATTGACATTATTGTTCCTATGTTATTGTCGCTTCAGAGTATTCTAGGTCAATAGTATCACAGTTTTCTAAAAGATCAAAGTGGGAATTCCTATAAAACCATCGAAGCAGAAAGCAACAGAAAATAGTCGCATGTTCTCCCCCAATCTTAGGCATTCCGTTTCCACAAGATGTTTAAGTTCAGGGTGTCATTAGTGAACAAGTTAGTTTGGCCAAGCCTGAAATTACAAAGGTAGAGAGTTGGAAATGTGAATAATATGCAGTAGCTAACCTCTCTTTTTGAAATAATTTTACTTATTGAAGTACATTTGCGTGTTAACTTTAGTGAAATTGCCTATTATCTTGTTTTTAAAACTTAAAATTTAAAAGTACATTTTTATCAAGCAATCAAAATATCAGCTATCAAAGTGAAGTGGAAGGCTGCTGAGTGGACTGGTCCTCCATACCCCAGGGCCTCTGAATAAAAAAGGATGGCATTTTGATCACTTTAAACATCAAAATGCATTACTATGAAGGCCTATTATTTGAGTTAACCTTTTTATGAATTACTGGTGGCGTTTTGATAATTTTAAATGTCCTCAAAGGATATGTATTATCAGCGTCCATTGGCCTATTACGCCCCCTAGTGTCGGAAAAAATGTTCGGTTGGATGAGCCGCGATTGAAAACCCCGGTGATCCAGACACTAGATACCATCTAAAGCACTTTGACTTCTGCCAGTGTGAGCACACATTTATTCGCAGGATAGATGCAGGGTCCCTTGGAGTTATTTTAAAGTTTTAAGCCTATACATTTACCTATCTCCTCCCCCCACCATTATTATCCCGTCGCTCTTTGAACTTGCGCCCCCCCCACCCCTCCTCCTCCTTTGCCTTCCAAATTAATGCCTGAAGTAAATAAGATTAAAATAGATTCACCGAAATCTAAACATTTTGGAGCTATTGATAATGAAAGGACAGCCTTTCAGTAATTTCTAATAAACACAAAAAAAATCTACTTCCATTTTTTGTAATGGCAAAGGGGAACAGGCATCAAAGACCAACGACAAGGACCAACGACATGGACCAACGGCTGAGAACAAAGACATTAACCGATGCAGCATCTACATATGCAACATAGACATATGCATTATAGACATATGCAGCATCTACATATGCAACATAGACATATGCATTATAGACATATGCAGCATCTACATATGCAACATAGACATATGCATTATAGACATATGCAGCATCTACATATGCAACATAGACATATGCATTATAGACATATGCAGCATCTACATATGCAACATAGACATATGCATTATAGACATATGCAGCATCTACATATGCAACATAGACATATGCATTATAGACATATGCAGCATCTACATATGCAACATAGACATATGCATTATAGACATATGCAGCATCTACATATGCAACATAGACATATGCATTATAGACATATGCAGCATCTACATATGCAACATAGACATATGCATTATAGACATATGCAGCATCTACATATGCAACATAGACATATGCATTATAGACATATGCAGCATCTACATATGCAACATAGACATATGCATTATAGACATATGCAGCATCTACATATGCAACATAGACATATGCATTATAGACATATGCAGCATCTACATATGCAACATAGACATATGCATTATAGACATATGCAGCATCTACATATGCAACATAGACATATGCATTATAGACATATGCAGCATCTACATATGCAACATAGACATATGCAGCATCTACATATGCAACATAGACATATGCATTATAGACATATGCAGCATCTACATATGCATTATAGACATATGCAGCATCTACATATGCAACATAGACATATGCATTATAGACATATGCAGCATCTACATATGCAACATAGACATATGCATTATAGACATATGCAGCATCTACATATGCAGCATCTACATTTGCAGTGAACGCATGTGCAACATACACATATGCAACATCTACATATACATGCAACATAGACCAACGACATAGACCAACGACACATAGCAACGACACATCTGCACATATGACTTCTACTTATTTTTGACACAAATGGAACCCCATAGCATCTGGCTGTTTTTCTTAAAGGTTACTTTATACTTTTATACTTTAAGTAGTTTTTGGAGCACATACTTTTTCACTTTTACTTGAGAAAAGAGGTCAAGTTGATACTTTACCAGAGTGTTTTTAAACTGCAGCATCTATACTACTACTTAAGTAACAAATGTGTGTATTTTTGACACACCTTTAATGCTTGTATGGTTTTTTTAGTCTGTGTAATGGTGTTATGTTGTTTTACTGTACAGCACTTTGGTCCTTTTAGAAATTTCATTTTTTTAGTGCTTTAAAATAAATATGTATTGGATTGGACTTTATCTACAACTCTATAGTATTTTAGCCTTAACGGAAAGTGGGAAAGAGCACGAGCCAACGCGCCTCCAACTTTATGGAATGAGTACTACATTTCCCAGGATTCCTAGCGATCGGAGTTTGCGCAATGTGTTTTGCACGGCCCTGGGTCCTGGCAGTGTATGTTTGGTGTTTGTTGTTGTCAAATCAGGAGTGGTAAAGAGAAAACTCTACCTAGGCCATAACTGTGACCATATCGCATGAGGTAATGTTTTTAACAGCGCAGTTTGTGTACTCTGTGTTTGTCTCCGCTCTCCTCCTCAGATGTTGTCTTTAATAAAAGCCTTCACAGCGAGCTAACCAAGGAGACAAGCTAGCAGCTGCACTCAAACAACCCAGCGAAAGTCTAATATAAAGAGTTAGAGGGTTTCGGTTTAACAGTTTGCTCCAGGAAGTTGATTTCTGAACAGATTAAAGATGTTTTGGAAGGTGAGCAGGATCCACCGCTGACTGATAGTCCCCATTTAATCAAGCTAACTACCTGTGGTCAGCTGGCTAATAACCATAACTGGATTGGAAAGCTGTTGTTACTCGATATTTTGCTTGTTTAAGAAAAAATAAAGTGTCATTTTGGTTTTTAAAAGCTCCAAGAGAATAAATGTTTTATTTCTCTATTAAACAAGACAGAATGGGCAGGAAGGGATGAATCAAAGCTTTGTTTTCCTGAGTTCACAAACAGAAGTTCAGTCAGCTGAGAACAAAGGATCCACTCACTCTGACCTCCTTAGCTTCTTTCTACTTTATGTTTGCCTGCTCGTGGTTAACTATTGACCTTTGACAATCTTTAAACATGTCATCATTTATGTGACTCTATCTTAGAAACTCATAGAAATTTCAGTCAGATTTTGAAAGGGTTTTGTTTTTCATAAACATGTTACACCATTAGTGATTCAGCAAAAGATGGCTGCACGACATAATAGTCTCTAAGCTCTCTATTCTCATTTATTATTATTATTATAACATAAATCTGAAGAGAAATTTTTCAAACCTGTTTTCTTTTAAGCAAATTACAAACAAGTACAGAGAGTTGGTGTAAAATACAAATTGAGTCCCTCTGTGTTATTTTTATGTATTTAATTGCAGTTTTTTTTTTCTTTTTTTTAGTGCTGTAAAAACTCAAAAAGAAAAAAAAGAAACTGCAATTAAATACTATATTTTGGGGGAAAATGGCCACTCCTGGGCTCAGTGATCGAGACGAAAAAATCTTGTCCTTGTTTTTTTTACTGATTAAAGCTAAATTCATAAAATCATTGTGAACGTATTAGTTTCAGGTATAAATAATGTAGCCATTGATTATTCTTTGCTGACCGGACTTTTCTTTTAAAAGCCTCATGGTTTCAGTTTTAAACTACTGCCATAAAGGCTGCATATAACAAAACTTAACTAAGTATTTTGATCTTGCCTTGTTGAGAAAAACCTCCAATCAGTTTAACAAAGTCCCATTTGAAATGCTGCTGTTAAATACTGCAATTAAATACTATATTAAATACTATATTATTTAAACCTAAAACTAATATGTTCACAATGATTTAATGAATTTAGCTTTAATCAGTAAAAAAAACAAGGACAACATTTTTTCGTCTCGATCACTGAGCCCAGGAGTGGCCATTTTTTCCCAAAATATAGTATTTAATTGCTGTTTTTTTTTTTTTCTTTTTGAGTTTTTACAGCACTAGTGGCAAATTTTTCTTGAGCTTGAAGCTTTTTCTCTGAAACAGGTTGTTGCATGATGAATTAATTCTCAAAATATTACAACTTTATTCTCGTAATATTAATTTATTCTCATAAATATTACAATTTTATTCTCGAAATAAAAAAAAAATTAACAAATCTCTAGCCTGGCCCTAATCCTACGTCGTAGCTATGAGAGAAGGGGAGAGATATGCGGCAAAGGACCACAGCTCAGATTCGAACCCCGGTCGGCCGTGTCAAGGACTAAGTCCTCCGTACATGGGTCTTGCACGCTAACCACAGTGCCAACTGCACGCCCATTTAATTGCAATTAATGGCCAATCTGCTTTCTTTTGTTTGTTGGATTGTGGCAGGTTGCTACATGAGCCCCACCCTGCCATGAGAGCAGACCACCAGGTCAGCAGCCCCCCCTCCTTCTGCAGTTGATGGATCTGCAGCTGGTGCAGAGATGACAGACAGCGTCAGGGCCTTCCTCCAGAATGTTGCTACGGTAAGCCTGCATACACACAAATGATGAGTCAGGACACATCCGGACAGTCATCATGATGGGCTCCTCTGCTGTATTATTGAAACCGCAGCATTTCAAATGGGACTTTGTTGATCTGAGTGGAGGTTTGTCTCAACAAGACAAGATCAAAATACTTAGTTAAGTTTAGTTATATGCAGCCTTTATGGCAGTAGC